GGAGTCTTGGGTTTCCTGTTGAAGCGCTGCCTCAGTTCCCAGACAAGGAAAAGAAGATATGAACTTGTTATTTAAGTCATATATCTATTATATTATTTTCTTGATTTGCCTATTAAGCGAGTAAAGCAAAACAGGTTTGGTTAATATGTTTATTAAAGAGAAAGAAAAAGACTTTTGGCCTAAAGTCCCCTCCCCTCTTGGACTCTAAGGGCCCTGCCTGGACTAACACCATTTCTGCTAACAATGGGCCGATGACTCTTATCAATAACCAGAGGATCTGAGTCACTAGTTTCGGGGAAATTATTGGGATTTGAGGGAGAGGGCCTTTTTTTCTAAAGAAAGGAAGAAAGAAAGCTTAACTAGGTTTACTAAAAAAGATTAAGAACTCTGCAAGAGATGTCCCATATCATTTCCTGCTAAAAGATTAAGAATTTTCCAAGCGATGTCCAGTATCAAGTTTAATCCCAACTCTGCCCCTCGCCAGCCATGTGACCTTGGACAAGTCACTTAACCTCTCTGAGCCTCGGTTTTCTTATCTGTAAAAAAGGGATGACGATGATGCTAATAATAATTATTGTCTTCTTGTGTTACTGAGTGAAATGAAGCATTCTTAAAGTCCTTAAAACCCTGACACAGAGTAAGCTTTTACCAAATACTAGCTCTGTTTTACTCTGCTTTTTCTTGATCCTCCCATGGCAAATATGTGATACACGGCATCAAAAAACTCACCCTGGAGATGAAGAGAAAAAAAGAAAAGCTGGCTTTCTTCCCAGCTTTGTTCTCCAGGGAACACAATACTTCTGTAGCCAGGAAGAGAATTTCTATAGGTCAAACATCCTTCAAATTGGCCTCGGGGGAATTTCTACTTAGTTCCTCAAAAACAGCTAGAAAAAGGGAAAAAAACAAAACAAAACAGCACAAATCGCAAGACGCTTTCTCTTTTTCTTTGGATCGGTCATGTGGGTTAGCTGCAATTGTTTCCCAAAAATGAGTCAGCTGGGGAGAGATGGCATGCAAGTTTGAGCCGATCAGTGTCATCAAAACAGCACAAAATAGCCCCAGCCGCCTTGATAACCTTTCACCCTGGTTCGGGCCGGTCTCCACAGCCTAGTGCAGACTTAGGAATCAAAACACCCAAGTTCAAAACACCCTGCTGCGACACTCCTTAGCTTTTGTGACGTTTCAGCCTTCTGAGCCTTGGTAAAATGGACACAGTCTTGTCTGCCTTATCCCAGGGTTTGTGGGATAAAGGGAGATCACTTAGGCACCTGTGGAATTTAGGACAGAAATGGTAGTAGTAGCAGCAGCAATTCTCTTGCTCTTCTTCTGAGGCCACCGGGAGTGCATTTGCCGAATTTTGTCCCCTGGCTTCTTAAATGTCTGCCAGAGATATCTGACCTTCTCACGGGCCCCTGGCTTGTCAGCAAGACAAACACTCTCTTGAGAATTCTTTTCTTTGCGTTCCTCCAGAGCTCCTATGTGTTAATTGCTGCCCATCCCCTCTTGGCTAGGTGTCCCCATTTGACAGATGGGCAAAGCTAGGCATTCAAAGAGGTGATGTGACATGCCTGAGAGATTGTCTTCTCAAGGGTGGGGAGAAATGGTCCTGCTCCCTGCAGCACTACAGCAGGAGGCTGGATTCAAAGGAAATGGGAAGGGGTGAAAAAAAAAAAGGAACAGGGGCCAAGAAGTCTGGAAGGGGGTCCCAAACTCAGACCCCCTACTGGGCCAGGCAGGCAGTGTGCCTGAGTGAAGCAGACCAGATTGCAAACTCTGGAAGAGGGGCTGTGTTTGGGTCACTGCCATGGCCTCTCCATGGGACTTTGGGCAAGCCTCTGGTCCTGGACTCTGCCTTCTCTCTGAGCTGAGAGTTGGACTCTCAGAACCAGCAGGGGACTCCCGGTCCAGTTATGGCACCTCTGCAGCCCTCTGAGCCTCAGTTTCCACATCTGTGCGAAGCAGTGGCTCACTGCTGCCCTGTCTGCCTCACAGGTCATGACTCTGAGGCCTGTGGGAATGAAGTCACCCACCCGCAAAAGGCAGACGTCACGCTGGTGACCCTGAATGTACTCCTAGGAGGTGACCTTTGGGGATCAGTGGGCCATGCTGAGGGGCTGGGCCCACTCCCACCTCTTTCTCACTGTCTCTGAGGAGGAGCCAGCTGCTCTGTGGGCGGGGCTGGTGGGAGCTCTCACCACATCCTCCTCTGCCTCCCAGCCCTGCACACGCGCTGGGGCAGAGATGGCAGCCGCTGCCTGTGCTGGACCCACTGGCTCTCTCTGCTGAGCGACTGATGGGCTTGGGCTTCAAAGGTCTGCCTGCTTCTCCCTGAGTGCGACTGACAGCCTTCCTTCCGGTCTTGCTGTCTGCCTGTCTGCGTGTCTGTGTGTCTGTCTGTCTGGCCACCTGCCTGTTCACTTGACTTCTCCTGTCTGTCTGCCTGCTTGACCAGCCTTTGCCTGCTGTCTGTCCATCCCCAGCCAATCAGTCCCTGCCCCACAATGACCGTTTTCTGTACGTGTGTGACTTCTCTGGGATGTGACTGACCACTGCCTGTATATCTAGCTGGCTCCCACTGTGCGACTTGCCTGCCTAGAGCCCGGCTGCCATCTGTCCCGGTGACAGGTCTCATGCCTGTCTGGTTGGTGACTCCGGGCAGGCTGTAAATTCCCACCCCAGACCCCTGACTGTTCTCTGATACTCATCTCCCACCCCCTGCCGAGCCCAGCGGCCACCCCTGGGAGCCCACTGGATTGCCTTGAGTACAAAGGATGGATTTCTGAGAGAGAAGCTGGAACAACAGGTAACTTGACTCCAGCTACAGTTCTGAGCGGGGTGGGAGGTGTAGGGGGCCTGGGGGGGGGCGGGGCAACTTTGTTGGCCAAGAGGGTTTGGTCTTTGCCCAGGGTGGAAGGACGCAGATGGGCCCTGTGCCCTCATTCACAACTGGAGACAGTGAGGCCAGCAGAGCTGCTCTGGAGTCTCTTGCTCAGCCTGGCTTAGGGTGACTGGAGGGCCTTTGAGTGGGTCTGTTGAAGGCCCAGGGGCCCGGGGGAAGGGGAATGGCCGTGATGACCCCATGAGCTGTCTGTGAAACCAGCCTCTACAAGGCAGGGGAGCGGGGAGAGAAAGGTAGTTCTGGACTGAACATGACTTGACAGTCGCCACGGTTCTGGGCAGCTGAGCTGGGCAGAGGTGGGCATGGGTATGCTGGTGTGATGCTTCTAGGGTCCCCATTTTTGGGGTGGGTAGGAGGCATTGACTTTGTGCCAGCTTCTGTATTTTATCTCCTTTATTTCATCGAATCCTTCAAAACAAGTTAGTGTGCCCATGTCACAGATAAAGAACTGAGGCTCTGAGAGATAGAGTGATTTTCCCAAAGTGACTCAACCAGTACGTAGTAGAGTAAGGTGATTCAGGGCTGGTCCTGACCTTCACATGCTGTCTCCTCATCTTTCTCGTGAAAGCACAGGGGATGGGCTGATGGTGACAGGCAAACTGGTTCTGCGTGCACGCCTGGGGGAGAGGGATGTGCAGGAGACTGAGGGAGGCTGAGCCCTGAAGCATGGGTTGAATTTTGACTTGTGAAGTAGAGGGGACGAAAGGAGCTGGCAGACACATTTCTGGCAGAGGAGCTGGGACAGTAAAGGGCCCAGAGTGGGAACTTTGGACTTGTGGTGGGAATGGCAAGGTGCTGCTCAGCAGGAGTAGAGGACTCAGGGCAGGGGGACATTGCAGAGTCAGGGGCTGCTCCTGGGATGACATCTGCACTCCCCTGGGGGAAGAGTAGGGGTTTTAGAAGCACGTGGTGGAGTGGGAAGTACCTGGCGGGTTCAAAATCCAGCCACGCGAGTTCCTAGCTGGGTGAACTTGGGCGAGTCTCTGTGCTGTTCTAGCTACGTGGAGCCTCGGTTTTCTCATCTGTAAAATGGAGACAAAGGCAGCTCCAACCTCGTGGGCTGCTTGTGAGGATTCCAAGGCATAAAACTATGAAAGCTGCCAGCTGGAGGCCTGCCCAGGAAGAGAGTTCGCATCATGAGGAACCTGGAGCTTGGGTGGGAGGAGGGCCACTCTCTAAGAAACAGTAGCAGTTACGACACACTCTGGAACTTGTGGTCCTGCCTCCCTCAGTCCCCTGGTCCTCCTGGCACCAGTGCTCAGCTTGCTGTCGGCCCTTGAGGATCTCTCATAATCCCCACGACAGTAGGTGAGGCTGTTGGCCTCATTTGGCCCATTTCACAGATGAGGCGACTGAGGCTTGGTGGAGAGAAATTGCCCCAGGGCAGTTGTGACTGTAAGATGCAGAGCTGAGTTTGGACCCCAAGTCTGTTTTGTTTGACAGTAGGGCCACAACCTGCTGGACAAGATAACTTAAAAGTAAGACTCATAGTCCTGGGACACCTGGTTGCTGAGCAGACCCCGGAGGGGTGGCCCTGATCACCTGTTCCCTGTGGCGGGCTCAGTAGAAGCCCTGGTCCCGGCACCCACATCTGACAGGGTGTCTGGATCCTTACAATCCTGCAGTGGAGGGAGCTAAGAGCCCTCATGTTAGGAGGTGGCCAATATTCAGGGCCGGAAAGGGGGAGTGAAGAAGATGAAGGCTGAGCCCTTGGCACTGCAGGCTCTCACCAGTCTAGAGGGGAAGAGAGGGAAGTTGGAGGTGGGGATTGGAGCCTCTAAGGGACTTGTGAGTAGTGGGTGGTGGGGTGGCATGCTGGAGGGGGAGGCCAGTTCAAGAGAAAGTGGCAAGAGGAAAACAGGCCACCAGAGGCTTTGAGGGGCACCAGCTTCTCTGCAGCATCTGGACTTCCCTGGCGCCTGATAAATAAATAAATGAAAGGGAGAGGAGCCAGTGGCTTCGTGGTCAGGCGGAGGTGCTGGATCTGGCTGACCAACACCCCGCCGACTGTGATGTGGGGCTGTGGAATCAGCCAGACCTGGTTTGAGTCTCATCTTCATCACTTAATAGCTGTGTGACCTTGAGTAAGCCACTAACCTCTCTCAACCTCACTTTCCTCATCTGTTATATGGAAATAAGAACTCCTGCCTTGGGCTTGTTGCGAGGTTCTGTTATTTATTGAGCACCTACTGTATGTCAGGCACTGTCCTGTGTCCTGGGGACGCATAGACAGACAGAGCCAGTGTCCTGGGGATGCATAGACAGACAGAGCCAGTGAGATCATGAGGAAAAAAGCACAGCAGGGCTCACAAGAAATAGTAGCTATGATGTTTTACTTTCAATATTATTGGTAATAATCATGCCGTTGTTAGCTAGGACACCTAGAATAGCTCTGGCATCTATTAGCTCTTATGATGATTCTATGCCCCACTTTCAAGATGGGGAAACTGAGGCTCAGAAAGGGATGGGAGTTTTCTAGGGTCACCCAGGGAGTCATTTACGAGCAGAGGGAAGAGAGCTGTGAGGGCAGTGGGTGGGGAAGGGGTGCCGAGAGGAGCCCCACCCCCAGTCCAAGGCTCACAGGTGCCACCGCCCCCACTTTTGCTCTGGCACTAGACCAAAGGGACTTTTTATGACAGCTCAAATGAGAGCTCTGAGTAAACTTGGAACTTCTGAAACAACCTGAGAAGATTCCCTCTCCTAGGGTGTGGGCAGGGGCCCCACTAAGGGCCCCCAAATGGCCGGGACACCTGCAGCAGGGACCAGACCTGCTGGTCCCCAGAGCCCTCATTGAGGATCTGGCTATGCAAATTGTCCCTAAAGAGGTGGGGCAAGTGTAGAGTCTGGTTCCTTGCTCAGGCGGCTCCCCGCCTAGTTCCTCACAGTGCCACCGCCGGCAAGGTCTGGGCCTCTCTGGGCCTCCATTTCTCCACCTGCCAGACAGCCTGGCGAAGTAGACTGGGACCAGGGCTGCAAACTTTCTCAAGTACAAATCAGTAGCATCCCGGCTGCTTTGTCCAGGGCCAGGGCAGGCTGGTGGGGGCCTTCTGGGCAAGGAAGGGATAAAGACAGGTTGCCAGACCTGCCCCAAGCCCCTGCCTTGTGGCCTCAAGCAGTCGCGGTTCAAAGCATCCTTTATTTTTCTGCCTTCCAACTAGCCCCTTAAGGTCTAGGGGAAATGGGGCTGGAGAGAGACGTAAGGATGGGAGCTGAGGGAGACCGTTCACTCTGGGCGAGGCTGCCCCGCACGGTGGAGATGGCAGGGCAGGGTGAGGTCGCTGGGAGGGAGACGATTCTCCTCAGCTAGGCAAGGCTGCACAGGCTGGGAGAAGTTTCAGAAGGGAAAGGTTCAAGTGGAGACAGGTTTCATGGACAAGGATTCATGGTCCAGGTGGGAGAGAGACTGAGAGGTTCCACAGGCGCAGAGGTGGTAAATGTTGGGGAGGGACAGGCCCTTCCTTTCATGTTCAGCTCCTACTGACTAAGCTGTAACCCCAGAGTCCTGGTACCCCTGTCCTCAGACACTCACCACCCACCACCCACCCCTCATCACTGGCAGAAAAGGAACAAGCAATTAACATTACCCACACACACGTGCAATATGCCCAGCATCTGCCTCACACTCTCTCAGCCAGGCCAGGGCATGGGGCACTGCTCCCATTCTACAGATGAGGAAAACTGAGGCTCAGAGAAAGGTCCCACTCTGAGTGAGTGGCAGAGCCTCCTTTCTGGTTCAGGGCCACCGGACTGGCTCTCCCCAAGCCTAAGCGCTCTGTTTAGGTAAGAACTAGCTGCTTGACCTAAGGCAACCCACTGTCCCTCTGTGAAAGTTCTTTGTTACTAATCTGATGACAGCAGTCATGATGGTTCAGACCCTGGGAACTGAGGGTGTTACCCGGGGTTGAGGGAAGTTCCTGGGGACTGTGACGAAGCTGATGGGGAAACCGAGACCTTTTGGGGGCTTGATCAAGGCTGCTCCTTGTATGACTAGACACGCAATTCTTCAGCTTCACTCATTCATTCCCCATTCTTCTTCATCTACTCGTTGAGCACCTACTGTGTTCCAGGCCCCACTCTATGCACTGGGGATACTGTGGTGAACAACACAGGTAAATTTCCTGGCTCCTGGGAGCTTATGCTCTGGGACAGATAGAGGTCATGGACACACAAAAAGGAACATATACTAAACTAATCCTAGTATTACAGTTGTGAAGGAGACACAGAGTTGTGGTACAGAGAACTGCGGGGGAGAACCATTTCAGACAATAGATTGCCTTTTGAGGAGGCAATGTTGTAGTTGAAACTCGAGGATGAGAAAGCAAAGAAGCACAAGGAAAAGTGTTCTAGGCAGAGGGAATGGCATATGCAAAGGCCCTGAGGTAGGGAAAAAGTTGGAGCATTGGAGCTTTTATCCTTAACAAGTACATACGTCCTCAGTGCACTGAATGTAAGAAAAAGGAGTCAAAATGAATAAGATTAAACTTTGGAGTGTACAATCCACATAGGTTTCAACACCGAGGTTAAGCTTCAAAATCCATTATGATAGAAAGCATTTTCTTTCATTTAGTCACTCAATATTTTGAGCACCTATGTGTCAGGCACTAGTTAGCCACTGGGGATTCAACAGTAACCAAGAAACATAGTCTCTGCCTGGATGTTGCTCAGAATGTTACTAAAACATCATGAGCAGTGTACTCTGGTGGAGGGATGGAAAAGTGACTCATACTCTTCGGAGAGGTCAAAGATTTACAGAGCAGATGACATTTGAACTGGATTTTGGAGACTGAGTAGGAGGCTGACAGTCAGCCTAGGCGGGTAGAGAGTTCCGGTGGCTGAAACAGCACGTGCCAAGGTGTGGAAGCCAGGTGGATGGAGATGTTGCTGAAGCTGTAAGAAAGCTGGTG